ACACCACTCATCATACACCACTCATCATACACCACTCATCATACACCGCTCATCATACACCACTCATCATACGCCACTCATCATACACCACTCATCATACACCACTCATCATACGCCACCACTTATCATACACCACTCATCATACACCACTCATAATACACCACTCGTCATCCAGTTAGCTCTAGTTTCAAGAGCTCTAGCTCCAGTTAGCTCTAGTTGCAAGAGCTCTAGCTCCAGTTAGCTCTAGTTTCAATAGTTCTAGCTCCAGTTTACGTGGCAGGCACAGCACTTTGTGAACCTCCATGTGCAGATTTCGTGGCAGGTGCAGCACGTTGTGAACCTCCATGTGCAGATTTCGTGGCAGGCACAGCACTGTGTGAACCTCCATGTGCAGATTTCGTGGCAGGCGCAGCACTTTGCGAACCTCCATGTGCAGATTGCGTGGCAGGCGCAGTACTTTGTGAACCTCCATGTGCAGAGTTCGTGGCAGGCGCAGCGCTTTGTGAACCTCCATGCTGCTCCGAACCTCGACGGGGAAGCTCCGCGGAACGACGGTTGCGAGACGGTCTCGGGTCATGGTCGGATCATGGTCGGATCATTCTCGGAATCGTCCCTCCATTTTGATTAGAGTTTTCACTTGTTTCTTGACGTGCAGATGTCGTGGCAGGCACAGCACTTTGTGAACCTCCATGTGCAGATTACGTGGCAGGCACAGCAGTTTGTGAAGCTCCATGCGCAGAATTCGTGGCAGGCACAGCGCTTTGTGAACCTCCACAAAATCTGCAGGCGCAGCACTTTGTGAACCTCCATGTGCAGATTTCGTGGCAGGCGCAGCGCTTTGTGAACCTCCATGTGCAGATTTCGTGGCAGGCACAGCGCCTTGTGAACCTCCATGTGCAGATTTCGTGGCAGGCGCAGCGCTGTGTGAACCTCCATGTGTAGATTTCGTGGCAGGCGCGGCACTTTGTGAACCTCCATGTGCAGATTTCGTGGCAGGTGCAGCGCGTTGTGAACCTCCATGTGCAGATTTCGTGGCAGGCGCAGCACGTTGTGAACCTCCATGTGCAGATTTCGTGGCAGGTGCAGCACGTTGTGAACCTCCATGTGCAGATTTCGTGGCAGGCGCAGCACTTTGTGAAGCTCCATGTGCAGAGTTCGTGGCAGGCACAGCGCTTTGTGAACCTCCATGTGCAGAGTTCGTGGCAGGCGCAGCGCTTTGTGAACCTCCATGTGCAGATTTCGTGGCAGGCGCAGCACTTTGTGAACCTCCATGCGCAGATTTCGTGGCAGGCACAGCGCTTTGTGAACCTCCATGTGCAGATTTCGTGGCAGGTGCAGCACTTTGTGAACCCCCGTGCGCTGATTTCGTGGCAGGCGCAGCGCTTTGTGAACCTCCTTGCGCAGATTTCGTGGCAGGTGCAGCACTTTGTGAACCTCCACGCGCAGATTTCGTGGCAGGCACAGCGCTTTGTGAACCTCAATGTGTAGATTTCGTGGCAGGCACAGCGCTGTGTTAACCTCCATGTGCAGATGTCGTGGCAGGTGCAGCGCGTTGTGAACCTCCATGTGCAGATTTCGTGGCAGGCACAGCGCTTTGTGAACCTCCATGTGCAGATTTCGAGGCAGGCCTAGCACTTTGTGAACCTCCACCTCCATGTGCAGATTTCGTGGCAGGCGCAGCGCTTTGTGAACCTCCATGTGCAGATTTCGTGGCAGGCACAGCGCTTTGTGAACCTCGAGGTGCACATTTCGTGGCAGGCACAGCACTTTGTGAACCCATGTGCGCTGATTTCGTGGCAGACACAGCATCTGTGGAGCTGGAAGCTGAGAACTGGCGACTTTGTAGTGCAACTTTAGGACGCGGAGAATCTGCGGAGCTGGAAGATGAGAACTGGCAACTTTGTAGTACAACTTTAGTACGCGGAGCAATCTGTGGAGCTGGAAGCTGAGAACTGGCGACTTTGTAGTGCAACTGTAGTGCGCGGAGTATCTGGGGAGCTAGCGCAACTTTAGTATGCGGAGCAATCTGTGGAGCTGGAAGCTGAGAACTGGCGACTTTGTAGTGCAACTTTAGTACGCGGAGTATCTGGGGAGCTGGAAGATGAGAACTGG